CTCTCATAAATTTCCCAAAAGTCCCACCCAGCTTGTCTGCATAGCTATGAACAGACATGGCTGGTGGGTTATTATGTGGCTTTAAGGCAAAGATGAGTGTTTATGGATTATGCATGGAGCACAGCCTGTGTTTAGGCAAAAGCAATCAGTAGCAACAATCACACAGAGCTTTGATCAGTTATTAAAACCATTTTAATTGCACCAGTGTCTTTTTTTTCTTGTCTGTTCAATTGTGTTTATTTATTTATTTTTATTTTGGACCTGTCTATACTATACAAAATGCAAGTCACACATACATCATTTCGAAATAAATAAATTTTATTATTATTATTATTTTGTTTTGTTTTGGGAGCATAGTCAAACATGTCAGGGTGATACAACTGTTCTAATAAATATTAAAAGTGAGAATGAAAAAAAACTTTAAGTAATGGGTTTCCAAACAACATGCAGAATAGAAACAAAAAAATATTGATTTCTCGATTTTAACCGATTCTCATTTTTACAAAGCTATATTAAAGGGGTCATATGATGCGATTTCAAGTTTTCTTTTCTCTTTGGAGTGTTACAAGCTGATTGTGCATAGATAAGATCCCTGAAGTTGCAAAGACTAAAGTCTCAAACCCAAAGAGATATTCTTTATCAAAGTTAAGACTCCACGCCCCCCTAAAACGGCTTGTTCTAACACGCCCCCACATATCTACCTCACTATGTGGAAATATTAGCATAATGCCGCCCAAATGTTCACGCAAAGAAAGAAGGCGTGGTTTCAGTAACCGCAGTTAGTGTTGAAGCAGCCATGTCAGAGAGACGCTGTGTGTTTCTAGGCGAAAGCAAAAGCACTTTATTTGGCCTTCCGAAAGTAGATGCATTTAGGAATCTTTAAGATCACTTACAACAGAACAGCAATGCATATTATGGACGACCATTTCGTGAACCTAGGAGAGGAGGTAATTCTGACTTTGCTATGACAATCTGGCGCTTCTGAATCAGCTACTGTTTTGTTATTAGTTTAAGTATTTGCTATTGAGTGTTCAAATGCGGAGTTTTGCACATGGTGTGTGTGCGTGCGTGCGTGCGCGCGTGTGAGAGAGAGTGAGAGAGAGAGAGAGAGAGAGAGAGAGAGAGAGAGAGCTTTGTGCTTTGTTACTTTTGATATGAAACTAAGTCTCAGATTTCAAAGTCTGTCCATTTTATTACAATTGTCACACAAGAAATACTGTTTTGGCATTTTTTATTGTGGAGCGTCAGATCCCTGTAACACCTCAATTCAAGAGAAGCGGCAGCATGAAGCACACATGAACAGATCATCTCCTTTGCTAATGTTAAAAGAAAAAGTACAACTTACTGAAATCCATATCCTGTCTCATGTAATCGCTCAATCAGTGTTTCAACCGCGGAAAGTCGTCAAAATAACAGCTCGTAAACAATATGTCATGTAACGTTATATTTACCTAAGAAAAAACATATTCGATGACCATAAACTCATTAATTCAGCTATAGAAAAATGAACTCTAGAGAGGAGCATTTTGATAAATTACAGTGATGCGTTGCTGCCAAACACATATAATTTTTTTCACTCAATTATGTCATAATAACAAGATGGTATGTCATTTTAACAACATATTTTCTCATAATAATGAGATATTATTTCGTTAAAACAAAATGTTATTGTAATAACGAGATATGTCATTAAAACAACATATTTTTCTCGTTAAAATGACATTATCTCGTAATAACGAGATGTTATGTTGATTAAACTACATAATTATCTTGTTAAAAAGACATATGTTCTCGTAATAACGAGATATGTCGTTAAAACAACATCTTTTTTCTCGTTAAAACTTAATTTTCTCAGAATAACGAGATGTTATGAAGTAAAACGATATAATTATCTCATTAAAACAACATATGTTTTTCTCATAATAACATATTATGTCATAAAAACAATGTTTTTCCAGTTCTAAAAGATATATATCTTTACATTATGTGAGCGAAGTGATTGTCCGCGCTGCTGTCGCCACAATCCTGAGATAAACGATATGTGTGCTGCTAAAGCGTTAGCATATAGATATAGCTATATATATATATATATATATATATATATATATATATATATATATATATATATATATATATGTGTGTGTATATATATAACTATATAACAATAATTATTTATATAATCATTTTTCCCCCAAAAAAGTTAAATGAAACCAACATGGATACAAACAAATACATTCACAAGAGCTTGTTTTAAACTAGATTTTTCTTTATATGATCTTTAAAGAATGTGTCTAAGAAGGCCTTCTGCCTCTAAATGAAACCACAATGTCAATTCATGCAACTTTTTGTTGCATCCAAAACTATGCCATATATCTGCCATGATAAAAGAGGCTTCATTGTGTAATATATATATATATATATATATATGTGTGTGTATATATATAACTTTTGTTAAATAATTATTTATATAATCATTTTTCCCCCAAAAAAGTTAAATGAAACCAACATGGATACAAACAAATACATTCACAAGAGCTTGTTTTAAACTAGATTTTTCTTTATATGATCTTTAAAGAATGTGTCTAAGAAGGCCTTCTGCCTCTAAATGAAACCACAATGTCAATTCATGCAACTTTTTGTTGCATCCAAAACTATGCCATATATCTGCCATGATAAAAGAGGCTTCATTGTGTAATGGTCATTAGATTGAAACGTGGGCCTCTTATGCAGAAGCACCATTTTGAAAAGCCTGAACTTTTAGAGAGTGATCTTGTATCATGCATTTGTGGTGGGCTGACAGTAATGCAGAATAAAATTGTGGTCATTTGAAACTGCTTTTTAACAGGTGGCCTCCCATCTGTCCAATGTGCTTTTAACCACTCTCTCTAATGAGCACTAGGTCACCTTGGCGTACTGATCCACCATAAATTAGAAACTTTCTCTCCAACAATAAGTGGAATATCTGACTCCAGTCTGAGCCTCCACAATATGGCCTTCATTTGGTTTTCTTGTTCTTCAATGTATGCACTATGGTTTGGGAATAACCAACAGGGGCTGTAATGCTAAATGGTGTGGTGTAGTCATTAGCCTTTACTTACTGTAGCTGCCTTTACCATGCAGGATGAGCTTTAAAAGCGTTGGCTTTTGGCCTTTGTGAGGCAAATTTGATGTTGAGTCATGAGAGCGGATCATGCAGTGTATCAGCGAGGGGTGCTGAATATGAAATGTCAAAGAAAGAATGGCTCCCAGAAAGTCCTTGACACAAAAAGTGTGGTATTGTCACCATTCTCTGTAGCATATTAGACACTTCATCACAATGAGCTTCTTTCAGGAGAAATAATGAAGCCCAAATAATAACTCAATATCCACAGACGTTAGAAGAAGGTGTTATTAAAACAATTATTTTTTCAGCACAAATGCTTAATGTAGACAACACTTCTGTGATTATTCTTGCACATCCGAGTCACACGTTTTAGACTTTTTGCTGAAAAGTGGCATTCTCCCTTTTTTTCTCTCCTGAAAGACCTATTTCTAGGTGTAGATAAGTTTTTTTCTTTAATTAAGTTCAGTTTTAGCCTCTGGTAATGTATTTAATTTGTACTTTAGAGACATTCAGAGACATTAGAGACATTGTTTAAAAGCTATTAAATGGCCTTAAATTAACAATTTTTGAAGTGAAATACATACTTAAACTTCCTTATATAGGGGAGATATCATAAACTGGTAGACACATTTTTTGTAATGTGATTGTCTATTTATCTTTTATAAATGAAAAATTATAAGTGTTTTCTCCAATATCCTGGCAGCTGAATTGTTTTAACCATCAAATGGAAATTATTTTATCACAATTTGTGCAAGAGATATTGAGGTTAAAGTTGTCTGTTTGAGACGGCATTGATAGACTTGGCAAGCATGCAGCTCTGCTTTATTAATTGAATACTCCAGTAGGCGGCTAGTGGCGTATAATAAATCATAATAAACAGGGGTAAATTGTCTAGAATTAGTGTCTGTGTGTTTATCACTTGAGTCTCAAAATGCTTTCTGGAAGTTAAATAATGAAGAGTGGCATCCACTGCAACTGGGGGCAAATAAAATGTAATCATATTAGAGAAAGAGGGAGAAGGGAAATGATAGAGAGAATGAATGTTGATTGTGTGTGTGTGAGAGAGAGATTGGGTAAGGGAATTGTTTAATATAGTGCAAGCACTGCAGTCATGTAAATTATGCAATTAGTGTAAAATATTTTGTGATAAATGTCCCATTCTTGCACACTTATATCAAGCAGTTTTGTGCATATCCGTGCTTTAGAAAAACTGTAGAAACATGAGGAATATTTTCTACATGCAGATTAAAGAAATTATATAAATACAGAAATGCTTGTATTATTCTTATTTGTTAATAGCTTTGGATAAAAGTGCTTTCTAAATAAATAAAATTTAGTAATAGATATATAATATTTATATGATATATATATATATATACGTATACATTTGTAAATATAAATATTATGTAATGCATATTATAAAATGAATAATGATATATCTGTGTATGTGACTTGGGTTGGTCGGCTTTAACAAAGCTTTTCTTTTTACTTTTCCTTAAATCATTTCGATTTTGGAACACAAGACCGTGCACTTTATAATTAACAGAATATTAAATTGCCATTAATTCTCCAGAGCTCAAACCTACTTCTCCTTCACATTTAATTTAAGGTGACTTCCTCAGCACAGGTCTTAATGCGGACATTCAGACATTGTAATTCAATTGTACAATGAACAGTCTGTTTTATTTAGAGCTGTGCTAATTAATGAACATCTGACCGGCACACTGTACAGCTCTGCCTTCAGGCTACTTTAAAGCTGTTATTCAAAACATCTTTAATTGAATATTCAGAGTAATGTATGTGAACCTCAGTTCTTTTGGGATATTCTTCCTTATGTCACTGAATAGGGAACATATTATATACTAATACTGATTCATGTACTTACTTCAATTAACAACATGACTGCCTACAGTTAGCTCAGTTTACCCGAATCCCCCCTGTGTATAGTTTGATAAATCTCTAGGTTCATAGCTGTGACTTGGCCTGCTTTGCAGCCTGGTAATTTCCTGCGTTTTATGTACACTTTAAAGCATAAGGCATGATTCTTTGGGCCCATAGCTGGACACCCTCAAGACTTTATGCCTTGCCCTGAGGCTGAGATGATAATGTGTGGTGGAGATGGCCATCTCTGAGCTAGTGTTGTGCTAATGTGATCTTTTCTCCTCTCCTTCCAGTTAGCACAAAAGAAGAATCGGAGAAGAAAAGGAAGAGACGGCTGTGGTTTCTGTAGGTAATGTGCTTTTTGTTCTTGTGACTCTTATCAGCATTAGTATAGTGTTGTTCATGTCACACTACAACCCTCAAGATACACAGTGCAATTGTATTGTAGATCTTTTAAGAAACTGCAAAGAGAAACCGCTTTTCTAAGAATTTAAGATAAAGCTATACCTTGAACTCACTCTATAATATTTCAACTGATATCATCAGTCCATCAGTCACAGAGCAGAATTTGTTCTCATAGCATGGTATCGCTCGCTCTCAATTCTCTACAGTTTTGTGTGAATTTAAGGCATATTACCAGCTATAAATCACCATACTAAGCAGCTTTTAATAGTAGTAGCTGTCCTTCTTTTCTTTAAATGATTAGCAATATAGATTGGCTTTACAGAGAACAGGGTCATGTAAAATCTGTGTGTCTGTGTGCACATTACAGTAATCTCTTGTATAATTACAAATTAAAAGCAGTAAAATGATGTTCAGAGTAATGGGCTGGCACTACGGTTTCCAACATGCACTGCAACTTTGTTGACTGCATGATTGAATGATTGACTGTTTGCTAGTTTATTATGTGGTTACTGTTGTTGCTTTTGTTTTACGTACTTGTTTCACACAGAAACAAGAGCGAAGAATAATAATGCTTTAATATCATGAAATTTAAGTTTTTGAATTGGGCTGGGCGATGTATATCTTAAAGGGGTCATATGATGCTGCTAAAAAGAACATTATTTGGTGTATTTGGTGTAATGAAATGTGTTTATGTGGTTTAAAGTAAAAAAAACACATTATTTTCCACATACTGTACATTATTGTTTCTCCTCTATGCCCCGCCTTTTTGAAACGCGTCGATTTGCGGCCTAGCGTGAGCGAAAGCCCCGGCTTAGCGTGAGCTGAATCCGGGCAAGAGTGAGCTGAGGCGGCGGGGTCGAGAACGGCGGTCCCGGCGAAGGAGCGGTGAAAACGGTGAAAGCCGATACGGCGATCCACAGCACTAAGTTGATGTATTCCCTCAGCGACCAGCACGGATCAGCTCTATGCATGACGAAGCGGATATTGTCCTCTTTTTGAAGACCAAACAAAGTAGTTTCACTTTCACAACGAAACACACAGTGTCTTCAGGACATGGCGGCAGTGGCAACAATACTACAGTGAGAATAAAAGTTACGCCTTCTTTCTTTGCGTGAACATTTGGGCGGTGTTATGCAAATCTTCCCACATAGTGAGGTAGATATGTGGGGGCGTGTTAGAACGAGCCGTTTTAGGTAGGTGTGGCTGACTCTGAACTTTTATAAAGAATATCTCTTTGGATTTGAGACTTTAGTCTTTGCAAATTTACAGATCTTTTTTATGCACCAAGAGCTTGTAACACTCCAAAGAGAAAGGAAAAAATGAAATCGTGTCATATGACCCCTTTAATGATGGTTAAAAATTATTACAATAATAATAATAATAAACAAAAAAAGCACTGTACATTTCATTAAAAAAATTGGTTACAAACAATTTACAGAAAAAGTATTTAATTAACTGAAGTAATATTAATACTCAATATACTAATATACTAAATTCCTAAAATCTGTTTAATATTACTACTTAATATACTAATATGCTAAATTCCTAAAATCTAGAAAAACCTTTAAAATCTTTAAAAACCTTCATAATATAGAACCTTGACAACCACTTTTTCACAGTAAATTAGGGAATGACTTGTTTTTTTTTTTTACTTCCAATAATTGTACATTTAGCGGTAATGTCCCATTAGATCTATTACAGTTTTTACCATATAAAGTAAAGGCACTCGACATCTTAACCATTTAACAGATTTTTACCATAGCATTTTTACAATCTTTTAGTGTTAAAATTACGATCAATTTTTACAGTGTAGGCTAGTATTAGGATTTGCTGTGGTATTACAATTGGTACTGAGAATTCTGAAATGTAAACTACATTTCTGGTATTCTAATGACATTTTTTTTAAATGAATAAATTCAAATCATTTAAAAAAGAATACACCGCATACAGATTGATTGAACAATAATTTTCTTTTCATATGAGTTGTTCCAGCTTAATGAGAGACAGTTATGACAGAAAATGACCTAAAATGCATTGATGTACAGTAAAAGTCTGACTCCAGCATTTTATTATGAGAAGTTTCTGTTAAATCCTTGCAATCTCTCTAATGCCATCATTGAGACTCCCGGCTGATTCATCCAAGTTAAGTACCCAACTCCAGTTTACAATCTGAGGTGTCAGGGATGTCTGAAGCAACTAGTAATTAATGCTTTCACTGCTACTTTGCTGAGCTGTGTGTGTTCCTCTCTCCCTCATGATGAATGGAGCCTGGACCCTGTCCCAGCTGTCATCTATGATTGATGCACTGTGCTTGTCTTCGTCCGGGTTTCTTGTGCTCGGTACCTCCCTTCCCCCATCCGATCTTCAGCCTCATCCTATTAGCCACAGTATTAATCACCACCAGTGCTGCTAATTGCTTTATAATCCCACCCCTGAGCCGTACAATGTGTTGAGAGAAGTCACCTCTGAATCCCATCACTTTCCCTGCCATCTCCGTATCTCTGGCTCCACCATGCTCGGTTTTGATAGCAGTGTATTACCCCCGATTCCCTTCCTACCCTAATCCTCTCCCGATTTCCTCAACAGATAATCTAACCAAGTCACTCACCGCAAAAACTGCAACACCGTACCCATGCTGATTTAAGAGACAAAGGGCCTGGTCGGATTTGTCAGGATGGTCATTCAGAGGATAGGAGGCAAGCGGAGGTCGACCTTGAGCACTAAGCCTAAGCCCTTTTGCTCATTCCTGACAGTGAAATCTCAATCAGATTTCTGTTTACTCCATATCGCTGATTAGTGAATTTCTCAATACATTCCTACAGGCCCACCCACACCACAAGTTTTAGGGGTCTGACTAATCGAACACACCCAATTTACTTCATAGACTCAAGGGGGGTCTCTGTAGAGTGACTAATGAACTGAATCAGGTGTGCTAAAAAGTGGGAGATATCCTAAATGCATCCGTTGGGGCTTGAGAAGCCCTGGTCTAGGTCATTCAAGCATTTTCACAGAACCTAAGGGGGTATTTGACGTTCACGCTTCATTCCAGATGTGGCTTTGGGTAACTATACCGTCATGAGAGAAGACACAGTGCATTGAGCATGGAAATGGAGGATTATGGGGAATAAACTCAAGCTTGAGCAATTGGCTCAACCAGGCAACCCTGCGGTCATGCTTTGATATTTTTATTTATTGCCTCCCTCAGCGATAGATGACATCTTTTCTCTTTCTGAGAGTCAGCGAGCATAAATTCTCCAGAAAGCTAAGGCACCTCGTTGGGTGCTCCTTGTCGACGGGATAGATTGACAAGCCACTCAAGCGGCCCTCGCTAATCAGAACTCCCATGTGGAGAGCAAAGCCCTGGGAAACTCATTTAAAGTTGTCGGACATATTGTTATTCAAAGCACATCAACGTCAATAGAGAACAATCAGGAGAAATATGAGAAAAACCAATCCATCTGTGAATATAATCAACAATGCTGGCCTTTTCAACTTGTCTTTCATCTGTCTATATCCAGTCATCTGATTATGGATTGAAATAATTTAGAGATGAGAGGTCCGGTAATGGAGGTGAAGACCATTCTGGAGATATTTGGATATTTGGAGCTTTTACAGTGCTGTTAGCATGCTACATCTCGCTATCGGTGCTATAACAAGGCGTATATCATCCCTCTCTGGAGTGCATTAGGGGCACTTTGTGCAGGCTTTTAGTACCCCCATTCTGCAAGCAACTCTCTTCCCTCTCTTTACTTGCTCTCCCTCTCTTTTGCTACACTTTAAACAGCATATTACCATCGCTAGCCCGTCTCCCTCATTTTCTCGACAGATAAGGATGCTTTTTTCAGGCCTGTTCCTAACAGCACAGGCTATGCCCAATGTTCCTCTTTTAATCCATCACATTATACTATTTCATTTCTTCTCTAATTCGTTAATCAGCGAAGCGCCCAAGCTGATATGACCGTAGTCATACCAGAAGCAATTTCACATCTCCGGTTCATCTCTCGATTTCTGCCCGGTGAATTCTGAGATTGTTCCTTTAATAACCTTGTCATGGATGTATCACAGCTTTTGGCACATGACTCACATTAATGCGTCGGCCCATTAAGAGGAAATTAAGGGACAGACTTCTGCATAGGACTGTCTTATCAACAGCTGACAGATGGACATGTCAGAGAGACATGCCATGAGGGTATTTAGATGCAGCAGCACATGCTGGAGAGTTAATCCTGTTGTGTGACCTCTAATAAGAAATTAGACATGAAATGATGTAACAGTAAGTAGGATTATTAACAAGAAAAAGTGTTATGTTTTCAGAAAAATTGCATATGATGTCTCAACTAGCAAAAATATTACAAACCTGAACTTTGAGGCTGAATTAGCGTATCTTGCTCTGAGCAACGTTTTATGCAGGACTAATAATAGTATACCATGAAGCATAGTTTACACCCAAGGAGTTTAAAGGGGACTTCGGTAGGTCTTTCACAAATGGAAGATTGCCTTATGGTTTTTCACACCATCTGGGATGTCTAGCGTGCCACACTCTACATCAAATATGACATCTCTTACTAAAAGTGCTCAGACTATTGATAGAGGTGGGATGAAGTGCTTATTTAGGGAAAGCATTGGACATTTGCAGTCATATCACAGTTCCACACTAATACATACATTGCAGCACAGCAAAATGGTACAATATTAATGTATAATAATACAGTATTAATATAATAATAATACAATAATATATATTAATACAGTATAAAATATAATATGATATAATATAATTTCTATTTTAAATTTTCCCATTATATATTTTAATTTATTGTAAAAGTAATTTATTCTTTTGATTGCAAAGCTGAATTTTCAGCAGCCATTACTTCACTCTTTAGTGTCGCATGATCCTTCAGAAATCATTCAAATATGATAATTTGGTGATGAAGAAACCTTTTT